AAGGCTCAATAAATAAGCGTGTATCACCATTTTAAAGTTTTAATTGAAAAACTGAGCCTAATTAAAAAATTCTTTTTATATTTTATTTGATTTATTATTATATTATTATATTATTTTTTATTATTTTATTATATTTTATTCATTATTTATTTTATTATATTATTATTTTATTTATTAATTATATTATAATTATATATAATTTATATATTATTTATTATATATCTCTTACTTGTAATTGAATAGAGTGATATCCCTTTTTATTTACATATGATTCACCGTGATATTTTGGCGCAGTAATTTTTATGTGCGTTCCATCTATCGCACCGATAACTCCTGGGAAACCCCTGGGAAACCGATAACTCCTGGGTAATTATTTTCTATTGTTTCCATAGTTTGCTCTGCGTCTTGTCTATTTGGTTAAGAAATAAATGTTCCTACTTTTTCATATAACGCATTAATCACTCTTCGCACAACTCGCCATGCAGTATCTTTACCAACATTGAATCTGTCTGAAACACATCTGAATGGTTTATTGATTAATACCCTTTTTCTTCACCTCTAGATATCTGGCATATAACTTATCTGCAAGATATATATATTTGCTAGAACTAGGGTAAAAGACCCAATTACTGGCATATTAAGCAGACATTCAATTATATTTGATTAATATATATGTATAGTTGATTATATTGTAATGTCTTAATTTTTTTTTAGTTTCTTCTCAGTATAAAGATTAAGAAAAAAATAGAAAAAAATTTAATAAAATTGATTTTTTAGTTTTCAATTAATATAATACTGAACATATCCAATGCACCTAATACTGGTAACCTTCAAATCATATCGTTCCTAATAGTGGCAACCACATTACTGTCAATTTTTCATATTATATGTTAAATACTTATGTTATATTTATATTATATTAAATAATCTTTTTTTCTATTTTTTTTCTTAATCTTTATACTGAGAAGAAACTAAAAAAAATTAAGACATTACAATATAATCAACTATACATATATATTAATCAAATATAATCTAAAATTATGTTTTTTAAAATGTAATTTTTTATTTTAAAAAA